TCCCCAGCAGAGCCAGTGCGTAGGAGGCGATGGCCACAGTGTACGGCCTCCTGCCCGGCGTCACCAGCGCTCTCTTCAGGTATTCAGCTGTCTTTCTGATAACTACCTGCAGCAGACAGACGCGGTTGTACATATTTGTAAGTGCTCCACAGGAAACAGACAACAGGGAACAAACTCTGCAGAAATGTTTCTGTGTGAATCACCTTTACTCTTGAATTAACGCAGCTGATCCCGGCATGCTTGGCCTCGGCGAGTGCTATCAGGACGAAGGCGGTCAGGGTCGTCTCGGGGTCATCTCCACGAAGACCGCCCTGGAGACAGAGTAATAGAATACAATAAGTAGAGAACCTAGATACAATGGGTTTTGATTTTTAATCTATTTGGTAGGAGGTTTGTCTTGTTCTGACAATCATTAACTTGAATTGAAAGGTTACAAAACAAAAGGACAATGAGGAGGGAGATAAGAACGAAAAACCTGTGGATAGAGATTACATCAATTATCAAAAGGGTGACGGAGTCCCAGTTCCAAACCGACCCCTATACACTCCAACTTCATCTGTAATCACACACACAGCAGAATGAGGCTTCTCTAGGGCATATAGCAGCACACTGTGGGACAAACTCCCCTCCACCCGGCAGAAACAGGACTGTTGTAAAAGTTCTTAAGCGGTTAAAACACTTTTTAATATAACTGCAAAAATCTTTAGTCCCAAACGATGTGGAAGTAGGGGATACGGTGTAATGGTCGGTTTGGAATTGGACCATGGTGTATTTTTAAGTGTGCCTTACCGTCATGGTGGTGCTGTAAACTGGGTTGTCCTCTACGAAGTTCCCCCGAGACATCTTGTGTTTGTTGTTGACCAGGTAGAGCAGGGGTTCACACACTTGCTGCTCGTTGATACCAACGATGGAGTGAGCCATGGAGAAAACTTTCACCACGTACGCTGTGACCCTGAAAGTCAGGTGGATAGTGATTAGCCTTCATTTGGTCACTTGTAAACCCACGTTTTTAATCTTATCAACAGTATTTAATGAATACAAGAACCTTTCATATTTTATAGATCTCTAAATATCTTATACCGGTCAGTCCACAGAGAAGTGCACATTTGAGAGAGTTTGAAGTAAATATGTAAAATATAAAATCTTGAGAGTACCATGTGCTTGCGCCTTCCCTCGTGTAGGGGGGATAAGAGCCGTCACTCTTTCTGTACGCCAGCTGGTTCTCATAGCCTGGAAACAACGTGGAATAAATTAAAGATGTGATGTGAAGGATAGTGGTCAAAACAAAGCATGTTCGAAAATCATCAATCATACATCTAGCTAACTCGATCTGTCCACAAATGCTGCAGTTTATCCATCAACCATCCTGATTTTCTATAGCTGTATCGCCATTAATTTAGTAGATACCCATCTATTCATCCATCCATCTACAGTATGGATGTAGATATGGATATAGATAACCATGGATATAGATGGATATTGTTGTATATTCTACAACATGATCCATCCACTGTATATCCATTTGAATTGCCATCAATCATCAATTTTACTTTTCTTTACATGTTCTTGGTTCATCCATCTCTCATTCCTCCACGTGTGTCCTTCCCTCTCTCTCACCTCTCCTGATGTAGCGGAGAGCCTCAGCTTTGCGCTGCACCCCGACACTCTCCCAGCTGTTGGTGGTCTCCAGGTAGAGGGTGGCGATGAGCGGTAGAGTGATGCTGGCCAAGTTCTGCTCCACACAGCCGCCGGGCATCCTGATGAGGGAGGCCAGAGAGTCCTCGCTGATGGAGTTATCAATGCTGTCTGCCAACACGTTGCCTGGAGGGGAGAGGAGGAGTCAGGAAAGGGAGAATTCTAGGTTCATTTCTTGACCTTAATCGCCTCTCTCACATTGACTTACCTCTGACATTGATGAACGTCTCCGGTGCAGAGTTTGGCACAACTGAGTCCAGGTTGACCATCGGCACACTAACCGTCTGAGTTCCTGTAGTGGACAGAAACAGAGAGAAACATTTAACACTCCATGATTTAAAACCAGAACCTAAAGAGGTCCACTCCTTTCATCATGAAGACACCAATATGTGGTTAATTAAATCATTTCAGGTTAGGTATTTTAGTTTTATTTCTGAAAGAACACGTCCACTAGTTTATGTCATGGTTTTGGATTTATGTTTTTCCACCTTTTATTTTGAAATGTTTTCCTCCTTGTGTCTTGTCTGGTCCTACTTCCTGTGTTTGCCTTCCTGTCTTTAGCTTCCCTCCTGTGCCTGATTGTCTCATTGTGTTCACCTGTTGCCCTTGTGTTTCTGCCTCCCCTGCCCAGCTGTGTCTTGTCCTGTGATTACCCTTCTGTGTATTTAGTCTTGTCTCCCCCTTTGCTCCATGTACGGTCGTCGTATTTTTGTCCTGTCCCATGCTAGTAAGGTTGTTCATGTCTGTCTTGTTACCCGGTTTTATTAATGTTTAGTTGTTTCTTGTTTTTCTTTGCATCAGCTTTTTTTTTTATAAAGCCCACTTTTTTTTATTTCTTATTACCTCATTTGAGTCCTGTCTTACCCCAAACCCTGGCATTTTAAACTTGATGCCAACAAACACGAAATAGGAGAAATGCTGTTTAAAACAATAAGTAAATGGATGAAGCGAAAAGGTTATAATTTGTCACTCGGCCAACAACAAAACACTAGAGGCTGAATCAACTCATTTTGAGTAGAGCTCACCCATGCACCCATCACCATTGCACTCATGGTGCAAACATGAAGTCTCATTCAACATGCGGTTGAAAATACATGATGCATCGCTGCAATCTCCTTACCTCCCTCAGCCGACGGGTTCAACACTGTACTCCAAACTTCAGTCTTCTGGACTCCATCCATCTGTTTCGGAAAAGGAAACAGTTTTAGAAAAAACTTCCTGGCTTCCTGTTAACACCGTGATTAAACTGCCATCCCATCTTCATCATCAAGATCTCCTCACCACCACATTTAGAAGCTTCTGGATGCGGTCTCCTCCCATTGCGTCTCTGGCTACCACCATCACCTCCAGAGGGAGTTTCCCCACCACCAGCGGTACGATGGTGTAAGGCAACGCAACAGAAGCGCCGGCCGCCAGCGTCACTTCCTGTGTGTGTCTGTCTTTAAAGGCAATGCTGCACATGCCCTCTGTCTTCATCAGAACCACCCTCACCTAAACAGAACCATTCATAAGATGTATTCATTCAAGACTTAGGTTCAAGGTTCAAGGATTTATTGTCATGTGTACATAGCTACAGTGTAGATATGTCAATGAAAATCTTAGGTCACAGGCTCCTCCAACAGTGCAACACAATAGCCGCGTTCACACCGGAGTACTTTTCCCACTTTAGTTCCGATATAGTTCCGAAATGTCGCGTTCACACCAAAAAGAGCCGGAACTAAAATGAGTTCATGAGAACCTTTTTACCCCCTTTTCCGTCCCTGCTAGAGAGCAGGGACTCTCATGCGGCTCTCTTGTGAGAAAAGAGCTATATTTCTGATTGGCTGGGCGGATTGCAAACCACGCCCCGTAAAACTCAAAAAAAGTGTTGTGAAGCCACCATTTTATTATCCTCGCATTAGCATTATTAGCATTAGCCCCAGCGCAGAAACGCAGAGAGACTAACTTATGGCAACACAAAAGAAAACATGGGAGCGGTGGAGATGAGGAGGTGTCGGCGTTCTGGCGATTTACTTGGAA